TAGTGTTAACAGAACTTTAAATTAAATATGTGTAATGGCAAATGCCATATACAATTTTCTTACCTGGAATTCTGCCTTTTTGAACAGACTTTTTGAGTCCTAGCTATTTTGTCTACAGTTCTGGGGTTAATATGAATCTAATATGATTGTCATCGGTCTAAATTAGGTTTCAAATGATTAACTGTGTATGTAATGAAGATCATAGTGTGGGTTGAATCCATTTTCATAACCACTGTCTTTTAACTGATTTAAATGCGGAAACTGGGCTTATTCATCAGAATTTCGTATGACTTGACTTGCTTGACCTGAGCAATGACTTGACTTTATTTATTTTTATTTTTTATTTTGATATACTTTATTAATCCCTGTGGGGAAATTGTTTCTCTGCATTTGACCCATCCTAGTGTTAGGAGCAGTGGTCTGCCATTATGTACGGCGCCCGGGGAGCAGTGTAGGGAACGGTGCCTTGCTCAGGGACACTTCGGTAGCACTTGGTCTTGCTGGGACTTGAACTGTTGACCTTCCAGTTGCCAAGCCAAGTCCCTATCGACTTCGCCACCACCGCCCTTCGCCACCACCGCACTTGACTTGCTTGACTCTCACCACAGTGACTTGGGACTTGCTTGATACTTGTAGGTCAAGACTTGAGACTTGCACATGTAGGACTTACTCCCACCTCTGCTAATTACCCATGAGACTCATTTAAGTGGGATTCTGAGGGCATATTCCTGCTCTCCAAAAGATGCAATTCAATAACTACCTTTAGCGCCACCTTAAGGACAATCTCTATTGCCTTACATTTGATACTTTTAGGGTTTAAATAGAAGTTATTTGATCAGGGAGTTGTTGGTTCTTCCTGTTATGATCTGTACCATGTCGGACTCTCTGCGTCTCGTAGAGCTGGACCAGTTTGAGGATCCATGGGGGGTGGGGGATCAGACCGGTCTCCTGAGCCTGATTCAATATGGACGACTCCAAGTCCGGATACCCAGCTTTATCTAGAACTACAGGCGGAGGAGACATTTAAAAAGACATATTTTAATACAAACTTTCCAGTGTCATGATATAATAAATGTGGTGACTTCGACATAAATAAATGAGATGAGCTTTATGTTAAAACTTCTCAGTCTCATGTGTTTGCCTCAGAAAGTCTTCACCGACAGAGCGATGCTTTGGACAACATGATGTGTTTTTGAGATAGAAGTGAGAGACAGAAACGTACCAATACTGGGAAACAGGTCATTGATCAGACTCATAAACAGAGGCTCATCCCCGTCCACCTGCAGAGACACACAGAGTAATCATGTTGCTGCTGGAAGAATAACTATTGTTCCTGCTTTGTGGAAATCTTCGAGCAACATTTAAATGTACTGGTGCTATAAGTGGCAATGGGGCTAGACAATGTTGGAGCTAGTGCAGGCTACCTTTAATGGAAAAGAGTCAGCCAAACTGCACAGGATATACTGACGCTTTGTGCCATATCGTGGTTAATATTACCTTGAGATCGCAGACACATTTGCATATTTACCTGAAGGCTTATAGGGAGCCAAATGAAATAAAGATGGTGTCATTATTCTGCAGAATATGAAAAATATTGAAGTATTTTACTATTCTAACTCATTGAAGCCTGAAATGACTTTCAAAAGGCTCTCAAAGCAAACCAGCTGCTACATACAACTCACTGCTATTTTAGAGGGAAACATTGTAGCCTACTATTAAATTAACCTGACAGAAAAATGTTATTGGTTCAGATTCAGATTTAAAAAAATGTAATTGAGCATTTACATGCATAATCACTTAATCTCCCTAGCGATGTCCAGATACATTCTCTTTTTTGTACTTAATTTACTCTTGTCTGAATGCACAACAGAGTAGCGCTGGTCCTGTGTCATGTGTTGTCTTAGCAGAGCTAACACGTGTGCAGCGTGCTAACCTGCTAACATTAATCATTTCTGGTTATTCAGTGTGTATGCATTTATTTATTGATTAGTAACTACTTTAATAAACCAAAATGTTTGTTAATGGGGCCCTCAACATTTCCTGTTGGTCCTGGGTTCAAACTGCCAAACAGGAAGTGAGAACCTCCAATAGGATTAATAGAAGAGAGAACTTGGACTGTACTATGTGGCGCAGAGTAGCAGGGGGGTTTCATGTTTCACATAAGTCTTTTATTAGACGGTAAACAAATATTGTTCATGTTTCTATATTAGAACAGTTAATAAGGTTTGGGTTTTTGCTGCAGTTTGGCCTCTTGTCTTTTTTCTGGATCGGAATCTGTTTTCTTGCAGCGCCTTAAAAAAAAAGCTTTACAAAACGGTGACAATGAGGATTCACCACAAGTACATGAGCAGAGGGAAAAGGATTGTGTGCAGTTAAAGGGTGTAGGACTTATGTCATGGAAGCATTTGAGGTCAATTGGAATATGCAGGCTTGCATTTAAACGTTTTCTTTTTCAGCATAAGGACAAGAGAATGAACGTTTACCCAGATATTGTTGGAGTTGAAGCTTGTCGAAGTTTTTCTACATTTTTTAAACATATATTTTTCCACAACCTCACCAAAACCAGCCTGAAAGTATGACAAAAACTACAAATAAAAACAGTTATCCTGGCATTGCAGCTATATAAATAATGATATATAATATATTGTCCCAAAGTAGTGATACCACACACCAGTTTGGAGAGGTTCATGTCTCTCAGGACTCTCATCACCACCGTCTTCTCTGGCTCTGACGGGTTGGATCTCTTCACAGCGCCCAGCGTCCTCAACACCGACAAAATGTTCCTCAGACCAAAGTCATAATGGACCTAGAGTAAACACAGAACTAATATCATCAAGCAAAATAAAGGTTTTTTTACCAAGCTGAATGAAAAACCAAAAATATATATGATTATCACTGAGATCATGGAAATTGCATTTAGAGATCAATGATGCTTTGTGCTCAAAAGTCAAAGTTGATATAGACATTTTAGATTTTGTTGTTCAGCATTTATTTTTGCTGCTACTGTTCACATTCCCCCTGAAGCAAAAAATAAATAAAAATGGACTTCTTTGTGCAACCCTGTGTTGCATTAATACAGTTATGAAATCTAGCATTCAAATATCATAATGGCAGGAGAACGTTTAAGAATAGTTTCTGAATATGAAATGTCATGAAGTTGGCAGTATCTCCGCACCTGTTTGGAGAGCTGCTCCTCACACAGTTTGTACAGGGTGAAGAACTTCCTGCTGAGCACCTGGTTGTCACGGAAACCTGCGCTGGCCAGTTTGACCCTCATGATGATGGCACGGTCCGGGACCATCATGGCGACGGTGCGAAACTGGATCTTCAAGTTCTCAGGAAGCTCCTGTCGACCGGCGTACCCGGGGTTCTGCAGGGCAGAGAGGTTAGGTCCAAACGGCACTTTTCCACATTTGGATACTTTCTTTATTTTTTTATTTAACTAGGATAGGTCTCATAGAGATTAAACATCTCTTCAACAAGTGAGTCCTGGCCCAAGATAGGCAGCAGCACAGTTTCAGACAACTTAAAACAGTCACAATCAAAACCTAATCACAGTAATAACAAGATCAGCCGAAGCATGTTCAGACACAGCGGCCTGCTTCATAGTATTTTAGAGTCACTTTGAGTCTGTTTAAAGAAAAGCTCTCTGAGTTTCTGCTCATTTTGCAGCTGGTTCCAAGCCACAGGAGCAGCGTAACTGATCGCCCTATGCCCCAGTTCAGTACGGACTGGGATAGTAAGAAGAAACAAGTTCTTGGAGCGAAGCCGATAATGTCCTGTGCATTTGCGGTTCATGTAGATCCTTAGATAAGGAGGAAGGGCACCAAGTAGCCTTATATGTGAGGATGTGCCAGTGTTCCAGTCTGACCATCCAACACAAGCATATAGGTTGCAGTGGTGTGTCAACGTTTTGAGGTTGGTAATGAATCTCAGTGCACCGTGGCAGATGACATCCAGCGAGTGAATGCACTGAGACGATGCATTCATATAAACCACATCTCCATAGTCTAGCACAGACAGAAAGGGTGCAGACACCAGTCTCTTTTTGCCTCGATGGAAAAACAGGACTATACTTGAGTTAGTACACCTCCATGTAGAACAGTACTTTTCTTTCTCTTCGTCCTCCTCCTTCCTGTTGTACAGTCAAATGACTTTCTAATCTGTATTATCCTATTTCATTCAATAAATGTATGTATCATTGTTTTCTTCTGCATTTTATATTGCATTTTTCATGCAGTACTATATTTGTAGTAGCACAATTTTATTCTTGCAGAATTTTATTTGGTCTTGCACTATTTTATTATTTTATTATTGCAATATTTAGTTTTTGAACAATTTTAATAGTTCTTGCCCTTTTTTATTCTGGCACCACTTTCATGATTGCACTGTTTAAATATGTATTGCCCTATTTCATTATTGCACTTTTTTTCTTTGTTGTTCTGGCGCTATTTGATTGTTGGTATATTGTAAGTTGCCTTGTAGGTGGAGCTTTGGATTTAAAAGGTTCTTTACAACTTTTGTAAAAATAACAATAAAGCCTTTGACTCTTTGAATAGGTCCTTTCGTTTTACTTAAAATATCAATAACGCCCCCCCTCAGAGCTCAGTTACCATGGTGAGGAAGATGCCAAACTCGGGGTCCATGTCCACCAGGTCTCCGTCGCTGAAGATGAACTGCTTCTTCTTGTTCTTCTTGCACTGCAGGACGATGTAGATCTGCTGGGCGGCCACGGACAGGACGGGCAGCTCGATGCGGTTGAACTCATCGAAGCAGCCCCAGGCTCCGGACTGGGCCAGGCCTGCAGAGACATCAAAACACCAACTGAAGACACTTTGAGGAGCTTAACTTAAGATTGTCATTGCCATATCTATACTGTAGCATCTGTGCATATGACAATAAAGCCCTTGAATCCTTGAATCCTGAATCTTTGCAACTCAGCCCTGGCCACTTCCCCTAACTTGTACCAGCTTACATGGTTTACAAGAATCAGACACTACCAGCGACACCCATTTCCTATCTTGATTCTGGAAATGTCAATTACAATACCAATGTTACTTGGATATAAGATAGGTTCTTACTGAACCAATGCTGGAAAAAAGAACCCTCTAACCTGGTTCATTATTAAAATAATGATGTTGCCATTAAGAATAGAGCAGTAAGCTGATACAGCAATGGACTAATGCATAAAGGATCTTCTTTATGGCCTTGTTAAGAGTAAATCAAAAATGCCATGTCATGCATGCATACTATGTGAGAAAATTGCAATTTGTCCATATTAAAAGGACCAATAAAAGGTCTTATTGAGATGAAAAAGCTTCCTATACAAGTAAAATATCTGCAAAAGATATATGCAAAAACTGAAAAACAGACACGGGACATAGTATCAGAAGTTAAGGAATCAAGGCAAATATCTGTAAATGCTCAGAAAGTGATTAGGGAATGTGCCACTGATGCAACACTTGCAGGACGTGAAAGGAAGCAGATTATTCATGAGGAGAATTCTCTCCGATGATATAGTGTTATAGTTAATGGCGATATTTGTCGTTTAACTGGAAATGTACAACAGTATTTCTTCAAGTGAAACTTTAACATTTTCAAAGTCAAACACAGCAGTTCAAGGCGAATCCAGATTTGTATGACCTTCACACACCTTTGTAGATGCGTCCCAGCCCTCTGTAGTCCATCTGGTCTGAACAGTTGAAAACCACCACGTATTTACCCAGACAGCGACCCATGTCTTTGGTGGTCTCTGTCTTACCTGGTCACACACAGACACACACACAAACTCATTTGTATAGCAAAGTGCAACAAAACAATATAAGAATATGTTTGCAGACACGTGTTCTGTGTAACCTGTTCCTGCAGGGCCGGCCGGAGCACCCCCCATGCTCATCCCCAGAGCCTGGGCCAAAGTTATGTAACACCTGGACATGGTTTAAAGGAGCATAAACATTTAATACAAATATGTATACAGTTTACTCAAGTATTGTAATTTACATGTTATGCTACGTATACTTTACTCCACCGCAATTGTGATGCAAATTTTGTCCAGCCAGTTTTGAAAGAAAAATGAGCTAAATGAGTGTAACTTTGAAGCTACAACAATAAAATGATATGACATGTTGGTGATTCACACAGAGTAATAGTGTTTTATATATACTATATACATATATTTAAATGTAAATATGTCTTAATGTGTTGTCCCTGTCGACTAAACCAATACATACAAATATGCAGCTCTGCCTGGGCAATAGAACCAATAAGTCAGTGCATGTCTACGATGTGTATGAGTGTGTGTGTGTGTGTGTGTGTGTGTGTGTGTGTGTGTGTGTGTGTGTGTGTGTGTGTGTGTGTGTACCTGTGCCAGGACAGGCTGCCTCAGCTCCACAGTTTCTCCTTCTTGAGACTGAAATGTGATCATCTGGTCGTAGATGTTCTCGTTGAAGACGACTCTGTTAACGTTGTCAAACAGACTGAGCAGATGTGCCTGAGACATGCGAGAAAGAAAGAACACACATATATAAGCAGACAGGCAGGGAGTGGGGACAGCAGTAAAGTGTATGACTTGAGTTGTATCCGTACTGCATGATAGTGTTACCTGGATAGTGTGCGAGTCAGAGGCCTGTCCCAGGATCTCCAGCAGGGCGGGGTCGGACACGAAGAAAAAACGAGGAAACACCAAACGCTTCTTCTCCAGATAACCAGAGAGAGACTTCTGACAGAACTCCAGCTGCTCCAGGAGGTGAGGGAGCACCTGCAGGGGGAGAGGAAGAGGAGGAGAGGAGGAGGAGGAGGAGGAGACATATCAAGTCATTCTCTTTGGAAATGAACAGCTGTGTTCCTGCTGATATATATTTGATGAATTGCTCTTTAACAATAAATACTAAATGGTGTGAGTGTTGCTCAGAGGCCGGGCAGCACCTGGCTGAGGGTGTCGTCTCCCCCGCAGCACTGCACCACGTTGGGCTGCTCGTGGGCTCGCTGCATGACACTCTGCCACGCCCGGTCCATGTTCTGGAACCGCTTGGCCTCCTGGACAAGGAACACACAGACATGAGGCTCTGTCTCACGCCACAGGGAACATCGAAACTGTGACGTGGGAATCATGTGACGTGGGGATCATGTGACGCGGGGATCATGTGATGTGGGGATCATGTGACGTGGGGATCATGTGACGCGGGGATCATGTGACGCGGGGATCATGTGACGTGGGGATCATGTGATGTGGGGATCATGTGATGTGACGTGGGGATCATGTGACGTGGGGATCATGTGACGTGGGGATCATGTGACCTGCGGCAGCTGCTTGGCGATGTCCCCCCCCACGAACACGGCCTCCAGGTAGATCCAGAGGTTCTGCACGGACAGCCAGCGCTCCACGATCTCAGAGGTGTTGGAGAGCTTCTGCACCCAGAGCTGGATGGAGGCCTTAAAGGGAGTGTTGTACCTGCACACACAGGCTGTATTCATTACATCAAGCTCTTACTAATGTATCCATCTATACATTATCCTACATGTCCACACTCTTTCATTTCAATCTGCTATGTTCTATTATACATATCTCTCTTCTTTCATTGATTTCCTTTCTGCTTTTCTCTCTTGCTATCCTTCTTCAAAGTCCTCCTTCCTTTAAGTCCTCTCTCCAAGTTGCACTTCCTTCCTTTCCTTTCTCACTCTGCAAGTAATCCTTCCGTCTTTCCTTCCTAGTCTTCCCTCCAAGTAATCCTTCCTTCTTTCCTTCCTAGTCTTCCCTCCAAGTCATCATTCCTCCCTTTCCTTCCTAGTCTTCCCTCCAAGTCATCATTCCTACCTTTCCTTTCAAGTCCTCCTTTCTTATCCATGTGCTCATTCCCTTTATTGCTTGCTTTATAGTCCTCTTTTCTATCCTAGTCTCCCTTTATACTAGCCTTCCCCTCCTCCTTGTCCTGTTCATTGATGTCCTTTCTTCTTTCTTTCCCTCCTTCCTTTGAAAACCGTTATTCCCTTCCTTAATGTCTTTCTTTTCTTACTTTCTTCCTAATCATTCTTCCATATGTTCCTTGCTTCATTCCTCTCATTCCTTCCTCGGCCTCCATCCTTAGTTTCCTTTCTATCAATCAAGCACAAGAACACAAAATGACCTTTGCCATTACCTTAAAGTGGACCTATCATGCTATATTTGAAACATATATTGTAGGGCCATACCTATAAAAACTTAATAAATATAGCTTTTTTTCTTCAAAATACCAAATAGATCCTGCATTTTAGCCATGCCTCATTTCGCTCTATTTGCTCTTTCCAGCCCTGTTTTTGCAGGGGGCTGATTCTGTGAGCTGCAACTGACCACGCCCCCCTGCAGGAGAGAGGGGAGTTGGCATTAGGGCAGGGATATCTAGATACTTTCCAAGGTTTGACATAATGAATTGTGCTACTTTTAAAGCAAGCAACAATGTTTTCAAATCTGTAATCAATAAGCTCCTCAAAAACGCTATCGAAGCAGTTCCTGCCGTTGCTACGTTAGTTCAAACGGTAACAACGGACTATTTTTGTTAGCGGATGCATGTCAATATCAATACATGCAACTATTTTTTAAATCAATAAAATCATTTTCTAAATCCATAAAAGCATTTCAATTAATATTGGGAGTCATGTCGTTACTTTGTTGAGAATGTGGCCATGTAATAAGCGGGATAATGTGCAGCGACGCGGTCATTATGGGGAAAAGAACACCGACAGGCTGATCAGGAGCCCGACGCGATATGATTATATAGTCATTATTCATTTGTTTTAAAGCAGGAGGCGCAAACGCTTGCCTCGGGGAGGGAGAAAAAGAGCCACAGCGGAGAATAAACAGAAGGGCAACCATGGCAACCATGCAAGGAAAGTCTTCTTTGCTGCTTGTGTGGCAGACTACAGCGCCACTTACAGGCCTGGCATATGTACTACAGCGTCTCCAGCGCTTTCGAGCAGCAATGGCCGGCCGTGGAGAATTGACCAATAGCCGTAGCGCCACCGTCCTGACGTCAGGACAGTGTTCAAATCTGTATCAGTCTGTATCAGATCCGTTGCAGCCCCTTTTTAAGAGATTTGAGGGTTGTGTTTTCTGACACTTGGTGAGTTCCCTGGAACACCGGGGACACATATTCATGTATAAAAGACGTACAAAAGTGCATTTTGCATGATAGGTCCCCTTTAAATGACCTTTCCATCCTCTGTTCTAAAATCCTTGCTCTCTGTGTTTCCCCTCCTACCTCCTTCCTCCCTGGTCTGCCCACCTGTTGCTGAGCAGTGAGGTGAGCACCATCAGACTGTCCTCCATCATGGAGATCTTCTCCGCGGTGTCTGCTCCTTTCAGTAGGAGTTCTCCTCTGGTCCTGAAGGAGGAGAAGCTGAGTGTGTGGCTGCTCCACTCCCCCACCACCTCCTGCAGCTTGGCCTCGATGTCACGCTCCTTCACCGCGCTGATGCACACATCCTGACACACACGGGAAACAGTCAGACAGAGGCAGGCTTTTCTAACACTGACCCTGGCCTTTAATGTGTTATTTTATTATCATATGTTTTCAGTAATATTCTTCATTTTTACCTCATCTTTCCTGGCTATTTCTGTTTATTTTTCTATATTTATAATAATCCGATTATTTAGTAATATTCCAGACTTTTAAGGATTATATTTTGTAACATCTTTTAAAAGTAAAAGACACTTTCACAGATCATTTCTTATTTGACAAAATGATTCAACAAATGAAAGTGATGGTTAAATAAAGGCATTACATTTAAAACATGAGTAAATGTTAATTAAAAAGAAGTAAGAGAATTATTCAGCCTCCGTACCTCGATGTCCTCTTTGTGTTTGAGCAGCGGAGCCTCCATGATGTTTCTGAGGGAGAAACTCTCCGACTCCACCTGGAGGCTATGAGCCGTCAGCTCAGAGAGGCGGGACCAGTGTCGGGGCAGCATGGCCTGCGGGACACCATCGTTATGACACAGGATGGACTATTATACACCTCTACAGGATGTTGACTCAGGTTAGAAGAGTTTTCCATTAGAGTCACTGATACTTGACTTGATTCTAACATTATAAAGATATCTGTAGACATTTCAAAAAATCCTAACATTGCTTTTAGTGAAACATAACTTTGAAATGTATTTTTTTGTATAGGATGTGGACAGATGACCAAGGACACAACTCTGTGGGGGTGATTTTCATTGTATAAAACCAACTCCAAAATGTGAATACCTTGTTGGCCATCATGTGCAGCAGAGGGCAGGTCTCCGTAAAGTCATCGATGGTTTTCTTCAGATCTTTGAAGGCCTGCCACTCCTTCAACGCTTTGGGAAGCTTCCGGATCCTGCTATCACGAAAAAAGGATCTGATGAGTCATGGAGTTACTTTCTATATTTTAATTTTCAAAACAATGTGCATGCTTTATATCGATTACATTTGTTTTAATCGAATTGAATGAAAAAAATTGAAAGTTTGATAGTGTCAGAAGCCGCTGCACCTGCTCTGGAAGTCCATCAGCTCGGTGTTGATCTTCTCGATGTTCAGGTCAGCCCACAGGATGTCGCAGTAGCCCCCGACGCTTTTGATGACCGAGTTATACAAAGAGTAGAGTTTGGACATCAGAGAGAGCTCCTTCTTGATCCTCTGCAGCTCGGGGTACTCTGCCGGGAGAG